CTTCCATAAGTATATGCTTATATAAGGAAAGAAATTTAGCTCAATTGGCGCGAGACTTTACCTCCCACGTTTGAATCCTACTAAATTCATTTATGGAACTATTTTGATTATTGTGGAGAGAAGTTGAAGTTTCACCTCCGTGCATTAATTAGTGTTTCCTCACTAGGCATTATGGAGGTGATTCTTCATTTATAAATATTAAAGCTTCCCCATCGAGCATTTTGGAAGGAATTCTTCGTGGAAAAAAGTTAGTTTTCCTATCACGCATTCTAAAGAGTGGATTCTTTGTGAAGAAATATTAGAGATTCCCCACCAAGCAATCCGGAGGAGATTCTTAATGAAGAAAACTTGGAGTTTTCTCACTACCTAGGAGGGGATTCTTCATGAAAAAAAACCACGAGTCTCTCCATCACGCATTTCAAAAGGGATTCTTTGTGAAGAAAGTTTGAAGTTTCTCTGTCACACATCCTAGAACCCACAGCCCTCCCTCTGCATGCATTTTAGAGGGGATTCTCCAGTCCGTCAACTAGTATGATGCTCTATGAAAGAGATTTTTTGTGTTGAAGTAGCACTTTATAAGGGAGATTTTCACATTGCTGAGAAACAGATATTTAGAGAATATTGTGCCTCTAAAAATCAACAAAAGTACCAAAATTTTGATGAAGTGATGTCATCGCAATTTGAAGAAGAGTTGGCCCTTTCTTTGAGGGTCTGAAAGACCAAAATTGTAAAGGTCAACTATATCCTTAGCGAGAACTAAAAGAATATCCCCTCATCCAGAATGTGGAGACTTTGCAGGATTTTCAAACGAGTGTGTTAGCTTTTGAAGAAGAGAACCTGAAGTTACAGACCTCCTGACGATGAGGAGGATATTGTAGTGTGGATTAATGTATTTATTTATATTATTGTGTTATAGCTTTTATACTGATGTGTGTTGATCGTTATAACTTTTCAATCGCTTGATATGACATTTGTAAACTGTGATGGAGTCTTTGTATATACGTTTTTATTTCTTGATGTAGTAGAAATTTTGAAATTGCTTCTGAGATTGTTTTTATGTTTCTTTCAAAAAAGTAGTTTCCCCTTTTCTTGGGTGTTTTTGACCAACTTCTGAGCTGTTGTTGCCCAACTTCTGAGCTGTTGTTGCCCAACTTTGGAGCCTTCGTTGACCCGCTACTGGAGTAATTTTACTGTCTACGCCTCTTCACTAAGGGCAAAGTGACATTGAACTCTTTTAAGGGTTTTTCTTATTAAGATTCTTTGGCTTCTTAAATATATATAAGTCTGCAATCTGGGTTAGCATATGAGTTTTATATAAAGAAAATCATGTACCTTTTGAGGCTCATGCTTTCTAAGATTTTTTTAGTGGAGATCATGCCAATTACTTGCTCTCATGAAATCTTTCTAGTGAGAAATGTATCCACTACTAATTTCTCATCAAAACTTGTCTCCTAGGCTCATCTTCCAAGGGTATGTATAGAGGCCGTATTTGTCACTTACCATTAAGGGGCCTTCCTAATGAAGAGTGCATCCATTAACTTTCCATCGAGACTTTTCTCTTAGACTCATCTTCTTGGAGTATGGGTGGAGACTTTGTTTGTCACTTGCCTTTAAGGGGCCTTCCTAGTGACAAGGGTAACTGCTATTAGCTTCTCATGGAAACTTGCCTCCTGGGCTCGGATTAAAGGTGTATGGGTGAAGACATTATCTACCACTTGCCCTCAAGGGGTCTTCCTACTGACAATTGTATCCACTACTAGCTCCTATCAATACTTGCCTCATGGACTCTTCTTCCAAGTATATGGGTGAAGACCTTGTCTTCCAGTTTCTTTTAAGGGGTCTTCCTAATGAAGATTTTATCCACTACTAACTTTCCATCGAGACTTTCCTCATAAGCTCATCTTCAAATGGTATGGGTGGAGACCATATTTGTCACTTGCCCCTCACGGACATTCCTAGTGATGAGTGTATTTTCTACTAGCTTCTCATCAAGACTCGCCTCTTGGGCTCGTCCTCCGATTGTATGAGTGGAAGACTTTGTCTATCACTATGAATGTATGAACTTTCCTAAGCTGTTAGTCGAAGTGTGTCAGCTCAACGATTATAGCTTATAATAGAAGAAGTTTATAGAAATCTACCAAGGAATGTTTATTAATATGAGTATGTTAGTCGAAGCTCCGCTTGAAAACTGTACCCCGTGATGGAAGACGACAAATTGATTCCCCTTGGGATCAATTAATCCCAGAATGAGGTTAGAAAACATTTTTCATTTCTCAAGACAGAGTCGTAAGTTGTGAAATGGACAATTTATTGAATATACTGTTACAGTCACACCCAAGAGTGGCATTTGACAAATGCTGCTTTTTAATCCCCCCTCCCCCCCTCGCGGGGGCATTTTCCATACGAGCTTGTAAAGCAATCCATTTATCAGACCTTAAAGAAATCAACTTCCTGATCTAGTTGAAAAGAAACTCCAGTACGATGAGGAATTGAGGGAGCTCTCTTGTGATGAATCTTGCCCCCAATATGGAAGCCTCTCTGCAGTGTACGCTGGGATTCTACAGCGCAAGTCGTGATTCCTCAAGAAACTTTTTTGTGATAAGTAGGGCGTGATCGACGATGGTCGACAATGATCGCAGGAGTAGGTGGCGTTCGTTGAACCTTCAATTTGGAAAACTAAACCTCAGCTCCTCTTTCATGTCCCGGGCTTCCTCTGTTTCAAAATCTAGATCCGTGTTCAAGAAGGGTGTAGGGCACTATTCATAAAGTTCGGGAGATGTCTCCCAAAAAAAAAAGGAACCTTGTTCACTTTATCAAAAGGTCCGAAGAGGTTCCCTCAATCAAACGACATTTTATAATTGTTTAAGTATTTTAATATAAAAATTGAGTGATCTTGAGCTCATTGAAATCATCTCGTCAAGATGCTCGATTCTACTTTAAGTTTGCCAGATTGTGAATCGTGTTTGCTTGACAGGATAACCCGAAGAGATTCATTCGATCGGACGACATTTTGTAAACATTTCAATGTCTTAACAATTTCATAATTAAGTGATCATGAGCTCATTGGATTCATCACATAGAGATGCCCGATTCGAATATGAAGTTATCAATAAAAAATTATTTGACCTTCCAATTGAGCACTAAGAGCTTCCAAAAATAACCTAACGACTTAATTCAAGCTAGATTTTATTCAACTAGTGTCATTCTGTTTGGCTCAACAAACCGCTCAATATAACTTTAAGCTATAAGCTTGCTAAAATCAAGATTTTAGATGATTTTTTATTAAAATTTGAACACTCTTTGCTAAAAATTTACCTCACAGTCATATCGAGTGAAAAAAAATGTCATTCGAAGCCTAGAATTCAAAATTCCCAATTTATGACCCATATCAGGTTGGTCGGTCAACCAGGGGGCCTAAAGTAAGAGATATTATCATCTATCTTTAGTACTACTAAAGATTAGTCCTCATAATCATGCAAGGATAATTCGTTTAGAGCAACATTTTTACCTTGATCACATCAACAAATCAAGCAAAAAACTCTTGGAATGATAATTTAAAATGCAGACTAGAAACTTTTATAGAATTGTGAAAGATTTTTAAATTGATGAAAAATTCATCAAATATGCATTAACGTTGATGGCCAACACTTGGACATCTTCATTTAAGGTTAATATATGTTTTAGACAAATAATAATACCAAAGTTATTAGAAGGGCTAAACCAAAACTCTCGTTTTAGTTTATAGTCGTGTTATACTGTTAAGACCCGAATAACAATGATATCCATGTAAGCCGGACCAAAGTTTTCAAATGTTACAAAATACAAAATGCTGTGGCAAAACAAGTATATCAGCACACCAATTATCGCAAAATTAATAAAAAAATAGACTAAAAGATGTACCCCATACTCTAAATGCATTCTTAGTAAGATCACTATCGTACTATCGTGGGATTATAGAATAAAAGCCAACACAAAAAGGCAATGAAAAAGATGCATAAAAGCGCATCAGGTTAAATCTGAAAATGCAATGCAGACCAGCATTAATTGCTTCAGCTAGAAAATAAAAGAAGAAAGCACATCATTCTCTGATGTTTAAAACACATGAAATGAGCAGCGAGTGCGGATACTCTCAATGCTAAATGTTATATCCACATGAGAACAGCAGGCAATAACACTTCAAGACCAGACAGAAAACATTAAATCACTGAGAAAAAGCATTAAATGTTCGACTAAATCATGCCTGTTTGCTATTGGGCTTGGCCGATTGGTGAGATGGTGATGAAGCATGAGAGCCATTTGAAAGACTCCTCGCAGCGAGGTGTCCATTTCTTGCAAAAGAACCATGTGTTTTGAAGCCGTTCCTTGCATTTTGGCTGTCAATTTGAGATGTGGCACGCTCGGCTTGCATGTTTTGGAAAAGAGGGGAGGAGCTCGCCATGTCCTTGAGGTTAATCAAGGGCTTCAAGGCTTCAACTACTTCACTCATGAGAGGCCTTACTTTAGGATCCCTGCTGAGGCAACGTTGAGCAAGATGAGCAGCTTTCTGGGCTCCCTTAATAGAGAAGTTTCCCTCGAGTCGAGAATCTATGAGCCGGTAAAACCTCCTCCGTTCTCCAAGGTAAGGCCGAGCCCATTCGACCAAGTTGTGCTCTCCTATAGGGCGGTTCTTGTCCATGGACCTCCGGCCTGTCATCACCTCAAGGAGGACAACACCAAAGCTATATACATCACTTTTTGAAGTTAAATGCCCTGCAAATATTGTAGGGTATCAGAAGAACAGATAAACAGAAAACAAAAGATATTCAGCTTCTACCCCTAACATGGTTGAACAAAACTGAAGGTTCGAATCTGTTACAGAAGAAAAAGGACTGATAAATAAGAAATTTTCAAAAACCCATTTAAATTCATCGGCTAACATCTCCATGTGCTGAGTTGTCTAGCAAGTCTTGTCAGTAGTAGGCTTTGATAATACAGGCCCCATATAAAATGTCATCCGTAAAATCACAACCTGCTTGATCAAAAAGTTCTAAACATGTACATTGGATCCAACTTTTTTCGCAAGAAAAATAATCTGAACCCTGCTCAAGACTACAATCCAATCAAAAGATTAAGAGAGCTAAGAAAACTAGTTTTCCCAAAAATGAGCTCGAACTTATGTCATAGACGGTGTGTGGTTCGCTTGAAGCAGCAGGTGAGTATTGACGAGTACTACTAGCCCGTCATCTAACACATGACTCCAATTGGTATTGTCCTGTATGTATTAATCAACCAAGTTCAATTGCACAAGACGACAAGTGCAACTATATTGAGTTCTTGTTCAATCTACTTGGCATTTCATAGCTCTGGACAACTCCATATGGGTGACTCACAACATTAACTGGTTGATTAAACCTAGGTTAAGTCTCTTCGAGTTGGTTCGACCAATGCAAATATTGGGGTGCATCAACCTTCCAATTATTTACTTTTTCAAGAAGCCAAAATGCACAAAAATGAGAGAATGGTGGCAATCAAATACGCCTTGGACACTTCAAAATTTTGTCCACAATTAGATCTAGAATGCAAATTCTTAGTTTCTATGTTCACGGAACGTCCCAATCATGCAGCAACAACAACAACAACAACAAAACCTTCATCCCACTAGTGGAGTCGGCACGTCCTCATCATGCATTCTAGAAAAAAAAAATCTTAAATTTTGATAGCTTAGAATTAACCAAGTCAGGAATTGTGGTCAGACGGTATTATTTACTTTCCACAAATGTTTCAGAACTTCCAATATATATTAAAAAACCACTAAGAAACCAGGAAATATACTAAACACAAATCAAAATAACTTGAAATAGCAATATAGTTTGTATACAACATAAAATAACAGTACATAACAATATATATCTACCCAAAAAAAAAAAATAGTACAAAGAAACTACAATCATAAAACTTATCAGCAGCAGTACTTCTATTATAAACTAAATCTCTCCTGTCAAACAAATCAATCTATTGTTTCTTTTCTGAAAGAAGCAATCTAATTTAATGGTAAGTTTTCATGACTTGGTGAGCAATTACAAACTTATTATGCATTAAATTAGTATGTGAATGTTTATCGAACTTATTATGCATAACTTTTAAGATGTCATATCATGATCACTTTCATATTCAAAGATATCTTCAAAATTGTATCCGTGAGCACTCTAAAAAATTTGCACTCAAAAGTACATCTTTACCATTTCTATTTCTTTTATCATGTACAAGTATATCACATCCCCTATGAGTATTATCTGATAGTAAATCATGATTAACATAAGCATTTATTTTTCATTTCATATCAATTTAAAATCATTTAAATATAGTTTCATATTTCAATTATTTTTCTCCTATTTGTGAGACATCTTTAAAACAATCAAAATACAAAACATAAATGAATATTTATTTTAAAACCATATAGCAAGCTCAACTTGATTAATCTGAAATGCAACTTCTAAATAAATCATTAATCTAATACAAATAAGAAATTAATTACTCACATTTCTCTTAAAATATATCTTTAATATTTATTCCTTCACTTCACTATGTCACCCATCTTTTAGCAATCTCAAATCTAAATAGCCTTCTTCCAAACTTTCTAATTAAAAAACAATTTAATAAAATTAATTTAACTAATTATATCATTAATTATAATAATAATATAAGTTATAACATTAATTTGACTCCATACAGATAGTGTCTCCATATCTTAAGTGCAAATACAACTGTTGCAAGTTCCAAATCATGTAGGTAATTTCTTTCATGATTCCTCAATTGCCATGAAGCATAGGCAATGACCCTTCCATGCTGCACAAGTATACAAGCCAAGCCCCTCAAAGATGCATAACTAAAAATCTAAACCCTATCTGAACATGAAGGAATAGTCAACGCTGGAGCGAACATTAAATAAGTCTTTATCTTCTGGAATGCCTCCTTAAAACGACCTAACCATTCAAACTTCACTATTTTCTAAGTCAATCTTAATAATGTCATGGTAATGCATGAAATTCATCTACAAATCTCCTGTAATAATCATCCTGACTTAGAAAACTTCTGACATAAGTAACAGTCATAAGTTTTGGTCAATCTGCAATCACTTTGTTCATGTTATGATCAACAAATGTTTTATCTCTACTAATAATATGCCCAAAAAAGTCACACTTCTAAGCCAAAATTTACATGTAGAAAATTTAATATATAGTATATTCTCTTTCAAAACCTACAAAATAGCATGTAAATAATCTGTATGGTTGGCTTCATCAGTAAAATACACTAAGATATTGTTTATAAATACAATCACAAATAAAAACAAAAATTGTCTCAACACCCTATTCATCAGATCCGTGAAAACCGTTGAAGCATTAATCAATCCAAATGACATCACAAAAAATTCATAGCTCTAATACCACGTTTGTCAAAACTCGACCTGATAACTTAAAATCAAATAAGTTAAAAACAACGGTCAGACGACATTAACAGTTAACTTACTTTCCACGAAATTTCAGAATTTTCAATATATATAAAAAAGCAATTAAGAAATCATAAAGTATACTACACAGAAATCAAAACAACCAAAAATAACAATATAGCCTGTAGACAACATCTCAAACGGGTATATAATAGTATATGACAACCCAGAAGAAAAAAAGTATAAAAAAACTATAATCATAACATCTATCATCAGTTCTTCTCCTGTAAACTAAATATCTTCTAACAAACATATCAATCTATTATTTTTCCTGAAAGAAATAATTTAATTCAACGTTAAGTTTTCAAGACTTGGTGAGAAATTATAATCTTATTATTTATTATATTAATTTGTGAATTCTATGCATAAATGACTAAAAGAAATGTAGTTAATTTATTGAACTAAAAGCTTTTAATTTAAATTAACACTTCCTACTTCAATTTAATCTCAAATTTGAATAAAAACTTACTCAACACTTTCTAATTGAATAAAAACTTGATAACATTAATTTCACTAATTATATCATTAATTCTAATAATAATATAAGACTTAATATTTAGCTTGTAGGCTTTCAGATCGATCACCTCCCTTACTCGCACGCAAAAATTTTCTTGCTAGCCTCTATGACCTCATATAACAAAACTTGATATTAACATATTTAATATATGTCAATTTAATGTATATAAAATTTCAATAAATAAGTCTAACACAAAGTTTACCTCAACACACAAATTAGGATTTCGCTAAGCTTTGGCTCTCCACTTCATACGCGCGATTCTTTCTATTACCCCGTACAAGAAGTTCGCATCACCTCTTCTCTCTAATTCGGGACTTTCATAGTTTTGATCATAGTATCAAATGCACTTAAATTTAACATTTAAGTAATATCTATCCATCTATCTATTTATCTATATATATATATATATATATATATATATATAATTAAATAACTTAATTTAAAAAATTTAAAACTCACATTTTAATTAATCTCGGTCGAAAGCCTTAACACGAACGCATGTGGCTCAGCTTCGCCTTTCTCCCACATGAAAGCTTCATCTCCTCCACTTGAACCCACAAAGCAAAGTTGTTACGCGTCCTGCTTCGCACGAGAGCTACTCTTCTCCGCCTTTCTTTCTTCGTCAGCAAACGAGCCGCTTGACTGACATTTCTTTTTTCCTTCGCTTCTTCCTTTTCTTCCTTTGCACACGGCACCCTAGGGCTCACCCTTTATTCCTCCTTGGTGTCGCTTGGCTTCTTCTTCGCACAGGCTTTGAATCTCAAGTATGAGAAACACGCGACTCCTCTTCATCTTCCTTTCCTTGCTCTTCTTCACTATCATTGCTTCTTTCTCATTCCTCTTGTCTTCCTCTTGTCTTCCATCACTCGCTAAAAAGCCACTCGGCTTGAGAATGTCAGCTAGGGTTCGGCACGATACACTTTCCTTGGCTCGATACCTCTTGTCTTCCTCTTGTCTTCCATCACTCGCTCACAAGCCACTCGGCTTGAGAATGTCAGCTAGGGTTCGGCACAATACACTTTCCTTGGCTCGATGGCTGTGTCGGATGCGAAGCTCCTCAACGAAGTTGCAAATTAGGGCTGGAAACGACCACTCTGATTTCTTCTACTCTTGCGCTCTCATTCTCGCTCGTTCTTTATAGGCTAAGAACGAAATGAATCCCCCTTCGATTTTTGATAATCGAGCCACTATACGGTTATAATTCGAATTGATTTTTATTTTTAGGCTATTTTATTATTATTTTTCAAGAGATATTACAAGGTTCGGGTCATGCGACTTGAGGAAAAATTCAAACTTTTAGTAGCCAAGCCGGACCTATGAGCTCTCACTCCAAAAAATTAATCGGCGGAAGAGACAATGCTCAATGCGAGTTCATCTCTGGGGATCATTTTCCTCATTTTTTTAGGATTAATGTAATATCATTTGTATAAATAACTCCATTACAACATCAATCAATCTCCAAGTCAACTAGAACTTGTTATAACTTTCCTCAAAGCCGGCTAGCTGCCAGCACCATTATCTCAAGTTAGTTCCTCTAAGGTGGTAGTCATTCTTAGAGGTAATAAAAAACTGACCGTAAGTTAGTTCCTCTAAGGTGGTGGTAATAAAAAACTGACCGTTAGACTTCACAATTTGTTCTCTTTTTCTTCCTCTTCTTCTTTTTTTGTTTTTATATTTTAGTTTTTCTTTATAATTTTCTTTCTTTTTTTGTTTTTATATTTTAGTTTTTCTTTATATATATATTTT